TAACAAGTTGAGTTTGGCAAATGACAAGTCCCCATAAGGTTTTCATACAATTTCAAAAAAATGAATGAATTTTCACATTGATTTATGAAGTGACAAGTTTACTATGGCAAATAACAAGTTGAGTATGGCAAATGACAAGTTCCCATGAGATTTTCATACAATTTCAAATTTCTTCGTTAAAATGACTGAATTTTCATATTGACTTACGAAGTGACAAGTTTACTATGGCAAATGATAAGTTGAGTTTGGCAAATGACAAGTTCGCATCAGGTTTTCACACAATTTCAAATTTCTCTGTCAAAATGACTGAATTTTCACATTGATTTACGAAGTAACAAGTTTACTATGATAAATGACAAATTGAGTATAGCAAATAACAAGTTCCCATAAGGTTTCATACAATTTCAAATTTCTCTGTTGAAATTAAAATTTGCAGATTTCTGACAGCAACTACTTCTGATAAGCAGTAAATGACAAGTTTAGTAAGATTAATGACAAGTTCAGTGAGTTGAACCCCTTGTACAAGGAAACTAATTACGAGCTGCACCTCATGCAATCTTGAGTCTTACATTCCATCATAAAGTTGACTTCCCTTCCTCATTCACATGCAATGAATCATCCAAGCTTTCATTCTTTAAGGAGGAGTAGATTATGAACTTGTCACCATCAAATTGAAATGTATTTCCTAATCTAACCATAGTCCTCAAAGAATTTCTTGACACCTTGTTCCATTTGGAAGAATTGTCCTGTACGCAAGACAAAATCCAATATGATCTTGGTATGTTTTCTAGGTATGTACACACAAAAAAGTTCAAACTATATATAAAAAGACACATACACATTAAAATAGCCTTTGACTTTCTCCATGAAACTGATAAATTGACTAATGAAAGTTAATCATGAATTTTCATTTCTTGATTTCCTCCATAACTACCTGACTCACAAAGACAATACCAAAGACAAAGTAAAGAAAGAAGGAGGAATTCAAAATGAGTATAAGCAAGGATAAGGCGTAAGTATCTTCAAGTTTTTGGTATAGTTTTCATAAGTTATGGTAAGATAATTATTAGATATGCATAAAGCCCTGTTTTAGATAGTAGAAAAACATAATGAATTGATAATGTTCTGATATATCCAAGGTGATAAAAGATGAATCAAATAATGTTGCAGATTTGGTACTTAGTTCAAGCAGGGGCAGAATATCACACTCTGTAAGCATTACACATAATCTTAAACAAGCATAAAACAATGCTCCAACATGCTTTGCTACACTGTTCCTTCTCTCTCTGAGACAAGGAATAATAATTTCAAAGTAGATTTTCTATTCAAAATCTAACAAACCATCGCAATATTATTTTGTTACAAGAGAGATAATAGTACAAGCTGAAACTTTACCAAATATTCTAAGGTACAGATCCTTCTTCGCTGCACCAGGTTTGTGGCTATGGAAGGTGGAAATGGAGATAGGCTTTTGAGCTATGGTGGAAGAATCAGAACATAGCAGCACCTTTCTCTCCCTCTAAATTCTGAAGTGAGAGACGTGGCTGAGGTGAGGACTAGAGTGCAATGCTTTGATCTTGATTCAGCAGCAGCAAAGAAAAGGACAGAGAGAGAGAGAGCAAGAGAAGAAAGAAAAAGAGGGAGGGGATGAGACGGAAGGAAGAGAAAGGAAATGACATTTTTACTTTTCTCCTACATTTCATAATTGCAATTTAGGACCCGGTCTCTGATAGCTATTTTGTGAATTGAAGTACCTAAATTGCCATTTTATATTTTCGAAGGTCTTTATTTGCCATTTTCCCTATTTGTAAGCTCTGACAAATATCGATTGATGTTACGTGTGTGTATTACATATATGAAAAGTTATAACTAAGCCCCATGTAAACTATATTACACGTAAATATTATAGGACAATATGTAATACCAGATTATTGTGATGTTTATTTTTTATTCTTTACATGTATGAAAAGGTAACTTTTGATTAATGGAGTTGGATCTAATAAAAATGGCTCGTCTTTTATAACATAACAAATTAATATTAGAATTCCTGTCATGAGAAGTTTTATATTTAACACCTGACAATACTCAAAAGAAAACTACTTCTAATGAAAAAAATATATGTCTCTATGTCTAGCAAAACAAAAACCAAAATAAATAAAAAGTATCTTTTTATGAAAAATGAAATTACAAAATACGGGCAAGGATATATGAGTGGGCCTGGTAAAACGTTATTTCACTTCACCTTAATAGCGGCCCAAGAGCCCCAAAAAAATTATAAGGCAGCCACATGAGATGCCGTTTTTCTCTGCTAAAATTAATAATTAGATTACCAATAAGATTGGGTCTAGCAAAAAGGATTAGTCTATCACAACATGACGAATCAAGATTTAAATTTCTGTTAGAAAAAATACCCACATTTAGTGCCTAACAGTACCTCGAATAGGATTGCCTCCAATAAGAAGATACCTATGTTTTAGCAAAAAAAAAAAAATGGATTTCAGTTTGATATGTAAAATAAATATAAATTTTCACTCGAAAACTAGTTTGAGTGAAAAAATTTTATATGGCTGCAAATTTAAAAATAGTGATATGTATAAATAATATTTATTTTTCATTTTATATAAACACACTCTACAGTATACACACAAATATATTAACATCAGATTTAAGTCTAAAATTTCATTTAAATATAACAAATGGCCCGTTTAGGCAACTTGCCGTTGATACAAAACAACACTCATGAAAGCATATGTTTTCTTTTTTGGTCTAATTAATCTCAAATACTGTTGTATTAATATAAAAACCAAAAAAAAAAAAAGACAGTAACAGTACAATCAGAACTGCAGTCCAGAAAACTGAGAGCAGAGAATGAACAGAAAAGAAAATGCAACAAAAACAAGAAATGAATTGGAAGCAGATATACCACAGGCCAGGCCAGCTATTAGATATTAATACTCCTCTGCAAGGGAGAGGTGGCAGATTTATTTCTGTTTTCAACCTCAGTATTCTTCTATTTTTATATCTGCTCTGCCAAGTTTTACTTTCACAATTAGTCTCAACACTAGTTGTAATATAACTATTACCTTATGTATCTAATATAAGAATTAATCAAGGTGTTAGATATAAGATCTTAATTAAGTTACTTTATTTCTTATATTTATTATTTTCTCCCAAGCTAATTTATCTAACTTTATAAGCTAATATATATATGATCTAGAAAAAAAACTTAGGTCAAATTATTTATATCCATTATGTTAAGTTTTTCAATCATGCATGACCATGTGGCTTTTTATATTTCATACGAGTTTATAATTAAATGTTATTAAATGCTAATATTTTAAAAATAAGACATATGGTCATATCTGATTTCAGAACTTAACAGAATGAATGTAAAAAACTTGATGCAGGTATTGTCCAATAATCTAATGTTATACAAGAGATCATGCCTTATTTATTATAATTAAAATTTGATGTACCTAAGAGGGAGTGTTACATATCGAGTTTTTCAATATAATTTTCATTAGGAGTGTTCATGGGACGGGACAAGACAAGGATGATCCCGTCCTAGACCCGTCCTGTCCCAATTGGGACAGGACATAACTAGGATGGGACAAGGACGTCCCATCTCTTTTTTTGTAATTTTTTTAATTTAAAAACTAACTATATAAGAAATGTAAAAACTTATATTATGTGAGGAAAATAGATAAAAATGACAACATACTGACAAAGAAAAATGTTTTTTGTAATATGAGAGACAAAAAATAAACAAATATAAAATATTTGCTACAAAGAATATCATGTAACTCATACGAAAACAACTTATAAACAAACAAAAAATAACAATTGATAAATATCATTACCAAAATACTATTACAGTGATAAATAAAATAAATATATAACAACTAAAAATAAAGATAATATATCAGGACGGGACACCCTTATCCTGCATCCCGTCCCGTCCTGAAACAATTTTGTCCCGTCCCGCTTTCGTCCTGTCCCAAAAGCTTTCAGGACAGGACTGTTCCGTCCCAAAATGACTGGGACAGCAACAGGACACTGGGACGGGACATAGTTGAACACCCCTAATTTCCATTCCTATCACTTGAGTTACGTACAATACCTTCTAAAAAAGACTAATATAATCATACATTTTCCATTCCAGTCTACAGTTTCTTAAGAGACTTCATTAACTTCGTCTAGAAATAAATTTTTTTCCTAACTTTAGAATATTGAGAAACATTGCATTAGATTTCAAGTCGCTTCCTACTAAATTATAATAGAGTTAATATCTTAAAATAGTTACTCATCTGGTCCTATTTATAAGTCACTTCCAACATATTTCACACAGACTAAGAAAAACCTTAAACTTCATTAACTTTTATTTAAAATTCAACAACTTTTCAACTTTATCCCTGTTTAATATACATTATACCTCATGTAAAGAAAGTCAACATAATAATAAATGAAGGGTAAAATTATATATCCATACAAAAAAAATTCTTTTAGTGCCCCATAAATAGAACCAAAAAATATTTTCTCTCTCGGTCTTATAAATAGGACCAGAGAAGTACTTATCTAGTCCTAAAGCACTTCCAGTATGTTTCACTTAGACTAAGAAAAATCTTAAACTTCATTAACTCATTTAAAATTTAATAACATTTCAACTTTATTCCTATTTAATATACATTATACCTCATATAAACAAAATCAACAAAATAATAAATGAAGAGTAAAATTGTATATTCATACAAAAAATTTCTTTTAATTCTTTATAAATATGACTAAAAAATATCTTTCTTGTAAACAGGACAGGAGGAGTAACTAGTAACTCATCAAGTAACTTTTGCGTGTGTGACTATCAATTCCCTTTAAAGGACACCATGGATAAGGAAACGCTGGAAGTATATATTCTCTGTCCCCCGCTTATTGGTCTCTGGGAGGAACAAATTCTAATTCAGCTTCAGAATCAATCTATCCATCTAATCCACTCATGGCTTCATCAATAGAGAGATAAGCGGAAGAGCCCCTTCTCATGGAGCCCAAGGAGGCATCATCAGAAGAGCCGCCCCGAGTAAGGTCGGAGCTAGAAGACGTTCTGACAAACACCGACCTCCCTTACTGGCGGCGCCTCCGATCGGCCACTTGGATCGAGCTCAAGATCCTCTACCGCCTCGCCGGCCCCGCCGTGGTCGTCTACTTGCTCAACAATGTCACCTCCATGTCCTCACAAATCTTTTGCGGCCACCTCGGTAATCTTCAGCTCGCCACCGCCAATCTCGGCAACACCGGCATTCAAGTCTTCGCTTATGGCGTCATGGTACACTCGCTCTCTCTCTCTCTCTCAAACTATTGGAACATGACGTTTCCTGAATTCTTGGAATTAAACATTAAATTATTCAACAAAGTGTGTCTTTATAAGTTTTTGTCTTGTTCTTATTTTGCAATCAGCTTGGGATGGGAAGTGCAGTGGAGACACTGTGTGGTCAAGCTTATGGAGCTCATAAGTATGAAATGCTTGGCATGTACATGCAAAGATCAATGATTCTTCTAATGGCGACGGCGATTCCACTCACACTCATTTACGTATTCTCCAAACAAATATTACTTCTTCTGGGTGAGTCCACCATTATAGCATCAGAAGCTGCGATTTTCGTGTACGGTCTTATTCCTCAGATTTACGCATATGCGGCCAACTTTCCGATACAGAAGTTTCTTCAAGCTCAGAGCATAGTGGCTCCGAGCGCTTATATATCGGCGGCGACGTTCGCCGCCCATCTGCCACTGACGTGGATTGTGGTGTTTAAGTTGGGCGGCGGGTTGCTGGGGGCGGCGTTGGTGCTGAGCTTTTCGTGGTGGGTAGTGGCGGCGGCTCAGTTTGTGTACATAGTGGTGAGTAAGAGGTGTGAGAGAACATGGAAGGGATTTAAGTTGGAGGCTTTTAGCGGACTTTGGGGTTTCTTAAAGCTTTCTGTGGCTTCTGCTGTTATGTTGACCTTGGAGACTTGGTATAATCAGATCCTGGTTCTCATTGCTGGCCATCTCAAACATCCTGCGATCGCCCTTGATTCTCTCTCCGTTTGGTAAAATCTCTGTCTGTTAGTTAAATTAATTAAACGTCACTAAAAGTTATTTTTGTAAGTATTCATGAAGAAGAAGTTATGAGTATTCTGAAATTTTTTTGACTCAGTATCATCCTAAAAATATTTAAAAAGAAGTAGTATTATCATTTTCGTTAAAATTTATTAATAGTCAATGTTAGCTTTTAAACAAAAAGAGCGGCTTCTTTTTTAATACTTACAGGAGATATTAAGAGGTAATATTACCATTTTCGTAAAAATTTATTGGCCAACTGTTAATGTTAGTTATTAAACAAAAAGAGTGGTATGGCTTCTTTTTTAATACTTACGGGATGATATTAAGCCAACAAAAACTTTCAATACATCCCCATTAGCTTCTTTGTAAATACTTTCAATATACTTGATTTGTTTTGCCTGAGCATTGAATATATATACTTGATTAATTAGGTTGCATTTCATTAGAATCATATATATATATATATCATGTATATATATTTACTCCTCCGGTCCTTAATATAAGACCCATTTAACTAATTTGATTAGATTAAGGAAGTTAGGTAAGTCAATTAATTATAAGAAAAGTGAAATATTTTTCCTAAAACACCATAATCATCTTTTTTAGTACCCCCTCCCCCTCTTCTACTTAATTATGGTTGAGAGAGTATCCATATGGGTAATTTAGAGAAAATTGATAAATATGAGAAATGGGTCTTATATTTAGGACCAAAACCAACTCAACAATTGGGTCCTATATTAAGGACAGGAGGAGTATATATCTCGCTACGTAGTTAGGGCAACTACATGGAACAAGAATGTCAGATATGAAGATGTCGTACAGGGTTGATGTGTCTTACTGATTGAATAGATCAGATACATATGTTTATTAATTTGGTTTGATGGCAAACCTGCGTGGGGTCTGCATGCGATTTGCTAACCTTCTAACAAGAATCTCCTAGCAAACAGTTGGTATAAATATATATGTCCACCAGAATGTTTGGAAGGCACAACCCCACCAAGAAAAAAAGGGGGAAAAAAAAAGAACAGAGCAAAGAACAAAAAAGGTCAGATGTACCATTCGATTTTATGAAACTTGTCTTGTATTTGACTTGTCAATTTGAAAGTTCACTTAATTTTGGTTGGAATGATGGTACCATCTTTTAAAATAGTTTTTAAATCATAATTTATTGGATACGAAATAAACATGTGAAGAAAATTTTGTTTTCACTGTTAAGCAACTCTAAACCAACCCTTAGTTTTACCATTATATATATATATATTGCTGTTAATATGCTTGAAACGTATATATACATGTATATGTATATATGTATGCACAATTCACTATATGCATGATCAATAACGGAGATTACATATAAATACACAACACTAAGTTTTATTTGTTATTTGCATGATGCAGCACGACAATATCTGGGTGGGTGTTCATGATTGCAGTAGGATTTAATGCAGCTGCAAGGTATCATCGTATTCATTTACACTTCAAATAACTTCATCGTATTCATTTACACTTCAATTTTTTAATTCACTCGAATTAGTTGATTAATTTTTACATTAAGTATCATAGATTAATAGGAGTAAATCAACATCACGCAATTATCAGAGGATTCATCTTCTCTTTGGTGTTTTGAATTTTATTATGTGCATGCATCAGCAATTCAATTCAGAATATAAATATATATTTGAATGATATTCAATAATATCTTTCCACACACATATATATATATATATATATTTCATCTAAAGTAGGAATAATGCAGTCCTATGGGCTTCAAATCATGGTACTATGGTGTTCTTCTGTGGGTTTGATGCCAACATTTTCATTTGATCAATTATGAATCATTCTACCACAGCCAAAATATCTTACTCTGACTTCATCATCAACTCTCATCTTCCATTTTCCAGAAAATTCTAACAACAGAAAAACATATTCTCACAAAATAATTAATCAACTCTGTATATTGTAATCAATTTGATTTGATTTGATTATTAAAAATAAAAAAAATAAACCAATCATTCCTGAATTTTTCTGGTGTTGTAATTTGATGTCCTAGCTCCTTGGTATATGCTGAGTACAGATTTGCTTTCAATGTTGATGCTTTCTCTTTTTCCCCTTAAGTTGCAATATTAATATTAATTACGTGTGTTTTTGGATTTATATGATCGACTTCGCTAATAAAATCCTCGAGTAATTTTCTTTACGTCACTTAAGATTTAATTAATAGGTTATGTGTACATTGCTCAAATCAAAATGTTAATGAGTGATTACTATTTGCACACAAAATAAAATTTTGAGGTTCATTTTATTTGAGGTGTGGCTCCAGTTCTTCAAAATAAATTAACATATTTATCATCACTCGAGATTATATATACAATTTTAAAATGTTAAAAGTCCACATTTTAGTCAAATATAAAGTCAAAGTCCCCATAAAATGTATTTTCTAGGGAAAATGATGCATTAATACATATATATTAACATAGATTCATTTTATTGTATCACGGTTATGACGAAGAGAAAGAAGAGATTAAAAGATAACTTTGTGTGTGTGGATGAATGAAGAGATCCACTTGCATTTTAATTTGTCATTGTTCTTTTTTTTTTTGGCCAACAATTTGTTATTCTCATTCATGAATAGAATAATATTGAACAATTCGACTTAATTTTAATTCGTTGGTAGAGGTCATTTGAGTGTTTCAACATAGATATCATTAATTAATAAACAAGCGGATAATTAAAAAATTTAATTAGTTTAAAACACGTACATATATAGTATATCTGATTGAGGATTAATCAAATCAAATAAAGGAACGTGGACATTAAGATTTAAGTGTTAAATTAAAAGCAGACACGTGAAGGCTATTAATTACTTTAATTAATTAAAAGGGCAAAATATTACAAGTCCAATATTCCTTTATTTAGTTCAAATCTAAGTTCACACACTACTGTTGGATTCCCTTTGCATAAGCCGTTCGCTTCAAACCCAAAAGATGCTCCTTCCTCCCCCTTTTCCACACACATCACTTCCAATTTCGTGTAGACGACAAATTATTCATCTAATTTTCAAATTAACAACTTTCTAACGTTATCCATATTCAATACATATAATTTTTTAAAAACATAACAATTTACACAATAATAAATAAAGACAAAATAATATGATATTCATATTAAAAATTTAATGGTGGGACACTCAACAATACAAAAAAAAAAACATTTTTCTTTGCTTTATAAATAGCACCAGAGGATCAAACAGATACTAAATCCTAAAGAGTTATCTCTCTCTATGTATATACATACTACTCCCAATCCTTGATATAAAAGCTAATTAAGGCATTGAGTTTGGTCTTTAACATAAAACATCAATCCATTTTGTTTCCTATTTTTTTTCAAAATATTCCTATTAATTATAAGATATTCTCACCAAGAGGTAGTTTTAATGCATATGATTGAAGAGTTAATAAAAGTCAACACATATTTGTAACAAACAACCAACTTAATTAATTTTTTAATATTATTAAATTAGTTATCTAATTTTTATATTAAAGACAGAAAATATGTATTATATATAGTAGATGTACTTGTGCATATATTTAGTTAATTAATTATGTAGTGAGTCTGAGACGGCAAAGAGGATTAAATTTGGTCAATAAAAACCCATCCAAAAAGCAGCCACGTATATAAAAAGGTCAATTGACCCTGTCGCCTACCTTCTCGTATATATATAAACCCATCAATCAATCTCTCTCTTATTACCGTCTTCATTTTCAAGCCTTTCTCAAACTTATCTACTCATCCCCCCCACTCATCTCTCTCCACCCATTATCCTTACATTACACGATCACTCTCATAATTCCTCTGAGTTTTAACGGAGCCTATATTATCATTATGGGAAACTGTTGCGGAACGACGTCGTCCTCTGCAGTTGATCACTGGGGCGGCGAGGATTGGAGTTTTCTGACATCGAGCAAGAATAGCAGGAACAGAAGCTCAACGAAGGTGTTTGATGAATTGAAGTTGATGAACAATAAAGAGGACAAGCTTCTTGTGGGAGATTCAAATGCTTCTTCTTCTTCTAATGGTAAGATTAAGATAAAGATTTCGAAGAAGGAGCTTCAAGTTTTACTGGGAGAATTAGAGAAGCAGAATAAGAAGAAGAAGAAGAAGAATACTAATAATTCTGCAGAACAAGTTCTGGTTCATTTAATGGAGGCCAGAGATCAGCATCATCATCTTCATCGTGCTGGCCAAAACTGGAGCCCTGGGTTAGAGAGTATTCCTGAAGTTAACTGATGATGGTCAGGTTAAGGTTAAGGTTATTTTTAGTGTACAAAAATCTCAGAGCAATTCGTTTGTTAATTCTTTTATTTAATTTGGGTTTGATCTTGTAGTTTGGTGTAAGTAGCCTGGTTTGGTTTTGATCAGAGTGTATATTTATGTGTGAATATATCGAACTTTGCAATAAACAAGTGAAAATTTATGTGGGTATATGTGTGCGTGTTTCGAAATATATACATATGGTTTTCTATTTATAATCATATGTATGAGCTTTGTAATTAATTCATTAATTAATGTGGAGAGAAAGATCACAACAAATCAAATCAAACAAGGTTTCTTGTTTGAAAATTATGTGTTATGTTGGTTCAGCAAAAAAAAAAAATTTGTTACTATTACATGGCCTATTCTTGCCGTACGTCTTAATACTTCCCTAATTAATTAATTTCTTCGTTTTAGTTAAGATTTAATTAGAAGGCGGATTGTAACTGTCTTTTTGCTTTTGTTTCTTTTTCTTCTGTGTGTATTGTAGTCCTCAAGTTTGGAATAATTATAGAATATGATGAATATCGCCTAGTGATGCGAAAGTACTTTTAATTTGTAGGTGACAATTGAGATTACTGATTGGATCCCACTATAATATATGTTGTTAGTAATTGTCTCTCTAAATTAAAAAAAAAAACAATAACAAAAAATAAAGCTGGTAATATAGATATGTGGGTCCAACCCGTAAAAAATGATGGAATAGGATGACTAAAAGCCAGCTTGTCACTCAATAAACTTTTTTAATGCTGCACTGCTAGACTCATAACTTACCGTAAGTTGGGCTGTCACCTGCATTTGATTTTATTAATTAATCAAATTATGTTGTTATATGTTATATTTTATCTAAAAAATTAAAAAAATACTTATACCATTTAGTTAGCGCTTTCAATCAAGAAGCTGAAAGAAAAAATAAAAATTCATTATATATTTTTATATATTGTACAAGAAAAAATATAAAAAATAGAAAATAAATAAATAAATAATAATTAGCATGCCAACCTACCCAATCCACCAAACCGACCTTAGCCAGCCTGCATGTAAATAGGCCTTTTTAGCCCACAGTGCATAGATTCAATCTGTCATAGGCCAACTAACAACCTGCGAATTGGCCGTATTCTGCTAGAAAATGAAGCTAAAACTTGTAGCAAATGACAGTTCTCCTTCTTCTATTTTGGTAAGTTATGATATAGTCACTCGATCGAATTTAAATGTAATTTTCATGCAAGAGATTCACATGTTAGTGTGATATATATATAATCATATGAGGAAATAAGAAGAGATAATTAATTTACTTGATCAATGAGCTTTATTTAGATAAAAAAATTAGTATTTTTAATTTTCTTGCACAACAGTACAATATGCGTATGCTTTTGTTTGTTTTTAAAATCGATATAGCATGGAAGAAAACAAATTTGAATTGCACAAAACGAAGGCCCAGTAATAGTTAATGCATTTCAAGAACGTATTGAATCTAATGGAGAATAATTATTTTTAACAAGATAATTTCGCAATTTTAGTCATTTTTTTCAGGGGAAAAAGTTACATACAGTCATATGTTTGTGTATTTGTGCATGGAACAAGGCTCTGTTTTCATTAAAATATTCAATCATTTTTTGAAAAATTCAAAGTATAAGAGCTAGAATCTTATAATTCTTACGCATCGGATTTGACCCACAACAAAATCGAGCTCACACTGATTTTTGAACGTTGAAATTTCGAGAACCGTAATTCAAATAATGAGATCTAAAACATATCATCACTACCTCCTTTGATTAATATAGATTTTTTTTTTCCATAAACTCCAGGAAATAAAAAAAGGGTAATTTCAAACAAATTAACCTCAAAACCTAAGATGTGTATAAGTTTTTCTATTTTTCAACTTCAAAAGGAAAATAAAAACTTTAATAAAATTCGCGTGATTTTAGCGAAATTCAGTCTATCAATTTTAAAATTCAATTTTAATAAAACACATGACATATTTATGTATAATTTACTTTTTAATTCAATAATTGGACTAATAATTAGTAAATTTGGTTGAAGCATCCTGGCAAAAGGAAGTTAGGATATATTTGTAGTATGTATTTCAAAGATGAAAGTCCAATAAATAGCAAAAGTATAGTAATGAAAAGTAACACTGTATGACGAAAATAGTTTTCTTAACTCTGTAATTGTGTTTGATCTCACTGAGCCTAGTGATAATATTTTATACAGATGTTGTGCGCATGCAACTAAATATTAGCACAATTAATTTTATACAGGATTTTATTTTGATTCATTAATTTTATAAAGTGTCGTTTTTTAAATTTTCAACCCTAACACGGCCAACAAAAAATCTTATAGTCAAATTTTAAATGTTCACAAAACATTTAAAAATGCTGAATTTTAATTGTCAAAATAATTAATAATTATTGTTAACAATAATTAATTATTATTTTAAAACTAATGGTGTCAAAGTTAAAGAATTCAAATAATACATTATAAAATTAAAGAACTAAATTAATTGGAACCTTATATAAAATTAAAAAACAAAAAACAAAACAAAACAAAGGCGTGCACCTGAATGTCGGTTGAGTTTGAAAAGTAAGCCGTAATTTTGCTCATAATAATGGTAGAACATTTTTTATATATATTTCGTATTATAATATTGATATTTATTATCCGAACGTGACACAAAAACACACAAAAAAAATCAATGAAAAGAATGGTAAAAGTTGCAAGTCGTGTTTGAATTCATGTCAACTACACAAAGTTGGTCATCATGGGATTAAATTAATTAACGTTCCTTATCAACAAAATGGAAAATGAACAGAAAATCGATATTAAATAATGGTTTTGCGAGGGATTATTAACGTTGGATTCAGCCCCTTTGAACAATTTAATTAATTGGAAACAGAATTTTGCAAGCCCCTTCAAACTCTTTTCCCAGCTCTTTTAATCATGGAAAGTTGGCTGATCTTGATCATTAAAAAATTTTTTAAAAAATCAAATGTTGAATTAGTGACTTTTTTAGAGGCATTGGATAAGTATGGTCCTGCATGGTTGGGCCCACGCGCACATCCAAATATGTTCACTAATTTATTAAACGTTGATTAATAGCTAGTGAGGTAATTTAAATTATATTATACTATCTCCGATCCTAATTATAAGAGCTAGTTGACTAAATTGAGGAAATTAAATAAATAAGTTAAGTTAGTTATTTGTAATAAATAGGTGTTGTCTTTCCTAAAATATCATTACTAATCAAATTTATTGGCTAGAACTACTATTATTCGAGGGACTATTTTGGAAAAAAAAATGTATAAAGGGGTGTTTGGATAGAAACCAAACCATAGTTTCAGAAGTGCTTTTACAATTTACAAAGTAAATATGTGGAGGAGTTTGTCTCATTTTGCGGAAAAGTGTTTCTGAAACCATAATTTGGAGGTTGCCAAACACCCCTTTATAATAAACAAAGTGGATTGAGGTCTTATAATTAGGATCAAAATAAAATTTAAATGAGATCTTATATTAAAAATCGGAGGTAGTACATTATATGTTGTGCGTGTGCGCATTACATATATGAAAAGTTATAACTAAGCCCCATGTAAACTATGTTACATGTAAATATCATAGGATAATAAGTAAATGCCAGATTATTGTGATGTTTACTTTTTATTCTTTACATATATGAAAATTTTTAATTAACGAAGTGAAGTCCAGTGAAAATGACTCGTCTTTCATAACATGACAAATCAAGATTAGAATCCTTATTATAAGAAGTGCTCATATTTAATATATGACAATATTCTAAAAAAAATTGCTTTCAATAAAAAAAATTATCTGTGTGGCTTGGAAAACAAAAACAAATAAAAGGTAACTTTTTATGAAAAATGAATTATAAAATATGGGCAAGGACATATGGGTGGGCCTAGTAAAACGTGACTTGACTTCATCTTAATGGCGGCCCAGAAACCCCAAAAAATTATAAGCTGGTCATATGAGATGCCGTTTTTCTTTGCTAAAATTAATAATTGGATTTCAGTTTGATAGGTGAAATAAATATAAATTTTCACTTGAGAAATAGTTTGAGCGAATAAAATTTATATTGCTACAAATTTTTTAAAAATTATATATATAAATAATATTTATTTTTTCATTTCATCTAATTTAAACGCACTATGCACACAAATATATTAACATTAGATTTAAGCCTTAAATTTCATTTAAATATAACAAATGGCCTGTTTAGGCAACTTGCCGTTGATATAAAACAGTACTCATGAAAGCATTTTTTTTTTTTTGGGTCTAATCTCAAATGCTGCTGTATTAATATAAAGAGAAAAAAAAACAGTAACAATGCAATCAGAACTACAGTCCAGAAAACTCAAAAGCGGGAATGAACAGAAAAGAAAAATGCAAAAAAAATATATACTGTGGTATCTCAAAAGCCAGCTGGTACCTTTTTGAATCACAAAACTAATTTAGCTGATCTTTACCGCTTCCGTGAACTGTACGGAGAGAATCTGAGTCAGATTAGTCCCGCTTCTTCCTAATGCATACATGTGTGTACACAAATATCTCTTTATGTGCCTAGGGCCGCCCCCGCCCATGTGATTAAAATTTTAAAAATATCCTAATTTGTTAGATTCAGTTTTTAAGTTAATGGGTTTAAGGTTGGTCCACGAGTTTTCAATCTGTTAAAAAAAAAAACTATTTTTATATTTATCACATTTTTATAAAAAAAGAAAAATAAATCAAAAAATTATTAATAAAAAACATAAATATGAATAAAATTAAGTCATAAATATTAAATATTATCATATTTAAATATGCATTAACATTCAAGAATATCTAAAACATCCATTAACAAGATAATAACATCCAAAAGTTTTATCTATAGTGCAAATGTGCAATAAACAAACACTATCATTAATCTTTTGAAATTTCATTATCACTATAATCAATTACTCTTCTTTATAAGTATGCTCTTCTTT